CTCAGCAATGCTGAATTAGGAGATACTGACAGAGAAGTAGGTCATTGACAGAGAAGTGGGTCAATTATAAAACAAAATAGGTCATTGAAAAATTGAAATGTCAATATGAGCAAAGAGGTCAGTAACATCAGACTAATTATGTATAACTAATAGCTTGGTTGGTACAAATTTCATATTGACAAAGTAACACGTGTTACTTTAGTGAGCTACATGTATGTATGGCGGTTATCATGCGATCACAAGCTGTTGTGTAAATGGTATCCCGGATTGTGGCATAACCAACAACAAGTAATGGGACATTTTGCCGTTACTGACGTATGAACACATTAAGAAATTGCTTGCAGGTTGCAATGTTTTGTCAATAATCCATGACTTCTTTTTTATAGAAAAGATTAAATATGGAAAATTTAGTGTATATCAGGCCACACTAAGAGACCAAAATATTCAACCAACTGCTGTTTTTCCGGCACAATCAGCACGTTCGATATAATACAATAATACAATATTTTAATTGCCTTGTACCATCACGTTACCTGAATTACAAACAGAGCGGTAGGTTGGGTAGAACAACGGCTAGATCGTTCCTGCTATCTCTGTCGACCTACTAATATAAGTCTGCAGATTTGTGTTTTATTGCTCAATCTCGCAATGTTATTGTTTGATGATGGAAAACCCAAAACATTTATCGTAAGTCGATACAATCTAATCACTGCCTTGTATTAACAGCGTGAGAGGGGTACACATTACGTGATCACAGAGAATATTCAGAGGTCGTTCGTGGCCTTGTACATGTACCTAGTATCAAACACTCACTGACCACCTCCAGCCAACGTACTCCGAGTCCACAGACCACATCCTACTACTTCTCAACCTGACCACCTCCAGCCAACGTACTCCGAGTCCACTGACCACATCCTACTACTTCTCAACCCATCCACCGACTACCTCCAGCCAACGTACTGCGAGTCCACTGACCACTTCCTACTACTTCTCAACCCATCCACTGACCACCTCCAACCAACGTACTCCGAGTCCACTGACCACATCCTATTATTTCTCAACCCATCCACTGACCACCTCCAACCAACGTACTCCGAGTCCACTGACCACTTCCTACTACTTCTCAACCCATCCACTGACCACCTCCAACCAACGTACTCCGAGTCCACTGACCACTTCCTACTACTTCTCAACCCATCCACTGACCACCTCCAACCAGCGTACTCCGAGTCCACTGACCACATCCTACTACTTCGCAACCCATCCACTGACCACCTCCAACCAACGTACTCCGAGTCCACTGACCACATCCTACTACTTCTCAACCCATCCACTGACCACCTCCAACCAACGTACTCAGAGTCCACTGACCACTTCCTACTACTTCTCAACCCATCCACTGACCACCTCCAACCAACGTATTCCGAGTCCACTGACCACGTCTTACTAACACCACCTGACACCTCTTTCCCAATCTTTTACAACTTCTCATCTTCTTACCAGTCTACTGAGCATGCTTTTTCCAATCCACTGACCACATCCTACTACCTCTCTCCTAATTCACTGACCACGTCTGTTTACCTCTCTCCCTTTACAATAAGCACATTCCATCACCCCCCCACTCTCCCAATTCACCGACAACATTCTACTACCTCTCTCCCGTTAAATTACCACATCTTATCACCCCTTTCCCAATTCGCCCTCCTACAACCCCTATCCAAATCCACTGACCACCTCCTGCTGGTCATTTCTCTAACAATCAAGTGATCAAGTCTTCAAACCCTCTCCCGATACCTGCCACCTGCTTCACCACAATTTACTCTAATGACCCCATCCTTTCAACACATCCAAATCAATTGACCACTCCCCTCGGTAGATATAACGGTAGTCGTGAGCTTTCCGCCGTTCTTTATCACTCCCTCGGTAGATATAACGGTAGTGGCGAGCTTTCCGCCGTTCTGTATCACTCCCTCAGTAGATACGTTAGTCGTGAGCTTTCTGCCGTTCTGTACCACTCCCTCGGTAGGTACATTAGTTGTCATGAGCGTTCTTTAACACTTGCTCGGTAGATACAACGGTAGTCGTGAGCTTTCCTCCGTTGTGTAGTCGTGAGTTTCCTCCGCTGTGTAGTGGTGAGCTTTCCTCCATTGTATAATCGTGAGCTTTCATCCGTTGTGTAGTGGTGAGCTTTCCTCCATTGTTGTGGTGAGCTTTCCTCCATTGTATAATCGTGAGCTTTCATCCGTTGTGTAGTGGTGAGCTTTCCTCCGTTGTGTAGTGGTGAGCTTTCCTCCATTGTGTTGTGGTGAGCTTTCCTCCATTGTGTAGTGGTGAGCTTTCCTCCATTGTATAATCGTGAGCTTTCATCCGTTGTGTAGTGGTGAGCTTTCCTCCATTGTGTAGTGGTGAGCTTTCCTCCATTGTATAATCGTGAGCTTTCCTCCGTTGTGTAGTGGTGAGCTTTCCTCCATTGTATAATCGTGAGCTTTCCTCCGTTGTGCAGTCGTGAGTTAGAAGATACTTAAAAGTTGATTTTGTTATCATAAGCTCTCCCTCAATGTTATGCCTGTGGTTGTGAGCTGTTTTCTGTGATTTTTAAGTATCTTATGTGTTATATCTGATAACTGGTAGTTTTATAATATTACCTTGAGGTCGTGAGTTCATTGATCGTGAGCTTTTTGATTTAATGTATGCTACTGCTGTTTCAACTGACCTCCTGTTGGTCAGCATACCAAACGCCAGGCAGAGTAGTCAGTCACGAAACACCGCTGTAAATAGAGTTGTTTATTTTCCCAAAGCATGTTTTATCTAACCCTGGAGGCTTCCTGAAATCTAACACTAAAACATGCTTAGTTTGATGCGGTTTCTCTTAACTTAGTACAAGTGGATTAACATCGCAGCGCTCTCTCAAAATAGCAATTATTTCACTTTCTTTGTCTGCAGTCATCCGAACACTCCATCGCTGCACGTAGTGCAATAACTGAATTTTAACATACCGTATCTTTAATGATTCTAAAAACAAATCTCAAAAGGATCCGAAGCTGACCTCGGACCGTATGTGCAGGGTCACAAACAACCAATTGGTAGGAGAGGCGGATCAAAACTGTCCTCCACGTCTCGTACCGACCGCCCGTGATAGTCAGGTATCGGTAAATGTACATTTATATGGTCGCTTCTACCAAGCTGTCAATACACCGCATAAGCTCAGACACGCGTTTATACGTTTTGTCACCCTTGCGTCAACATTTTTTTTTCGTTTCTCGTGCATGGTTTCAGATGTGAACCACATTACACTATACCAATAATGTAGGATTCTTCAACAGCGATGAAATATTTCAAACTATAAGGTTTTTCTATTGATAGACAATATTGAATTTTGTTTTGTTTGTTTGCATTTTATATGCCCATATAACAGAAAACGTGCAAGTTTAATGTATGTATTGGTTGGAACTTTCCTATGTGTATGCATATGTTGTGATGTTTTTGTGAAGTATGTTCGGCGTTGCTACGAGATGTGCAGTGTTTACAGTATGCTCCCTATGTAATGTGCAGTGTTTACAGTATGTTCCCTATGAGATGTGCAGTGTTTACAGTATGCCCCCTACGAGATGTGCGGTGAGTACAGTATGTTCCCCATGCCATGTGCAGTGTTTACAGTATGTTCCCTATGAGATGTGCAGTATTTTAAAGTATGTTCCCTATGAGATGTGCCGTGTTTGGTATGCGCATATTCCGTATGTTTATATGATGTGTTTCGTGTATCTTTTTCTGTGGTTTGTATTTCTCAGTTTATTTGTATTTCTTGACATGCGACATGTTCCGTGCTTTGGTGTTTGTGTGGCATGCGTTACGTACTCTTGTATTTGTGTAACACGTGTTCCGTATCCAGATATTTTTGAGACATGTGTTCCGTGCTCTGGTACTTTTGTGACATGTGTTCCATACTCTGGTAATTTTGTGACATGTGTTACGTAATCTTGTGTTTGTGTAACACAAGTTCCATACCCTGGTATTTTTGTGACATGTGTTCCATACTCTAGTGTTTGTGTGACGTGTGTTACGTAATCTTGTGTTTGTGTAACACATGTTCCATACCCTGGTATTTTTGTGACATGTGTTCCATACTCTAGTGTTTGTGTGACGTGTGTTACGTAATCTTGTGTTTGTGTAACACATGTTCCATACCCTGGTATTTTTGTGACATGTGTTCCATACTCTAGTGTTTGTGTGACATGTGTTCCTTATTCTTGTGTCTGTGTGTGACGTGTTACGTACTTTGGTGGTTGTTAAGTCTTTGTGTGTGTTTCGTGTATTTCGCCGGTTTGTGTTCCGTGTGTATGACAATGTGGGATGTTTGCTGCGTTCTCTGTGTTGTTTCGCTTTTGCCTTTGATGTGTTCCTCACTCTGTGTGTTGTGTTAGGCAATGTTCTTTAATTTATGTTGTATATTTTGTGGTGCTGTTTCATATGTTTGTATTTGATGTGTCACGTTTTAATGATGCTTAAATTGTGTCGTCTTCCTTCTTTGTACGTATGTGGAAGGTGATTACGTTGCGTTCCGTGTTTGTTTTGTTCTTGTATGTCCCGTATTTGCCGCTTTGTTTTGACTTTAGTTTTCCCTATGTTCGTTCATATTCACTGTCTTTCCTGTCTTGCGTGTTATATGCAGTGTTCTGTGCTGTGTTTAATATGCATTTTGATGCTTGCTGGTATGTGCTGTGTACCCTAGCAGGTTCTGTCAGCTGGGCGGAGTCAGGCACTGGAGTGTGGAAGGGCGGTACAAGCGCATGGCTGCTGGGCCGTGTCCACGTGCTCCATCACAGAACTAAGCCATTTGTGATAGCAGAATGTGAAGGGACTGTCCCGCTCGTGCGAGCTACCACAAGTTCCTTGTGTGTTCTAAGTTTCTCTTTTTGGTTTGTTGTTCAGGACACACTGGATTTACACTGACCTTACCACGTGTCTGTCGGGACGTACTTTGTCATGTGATGTGTGGTTGATATACACGCTATCTGAATTCAAACAGTAACCTTGGGAACGTCACCACAATTATTTATTGTAAAAGGTAAGTGTCTTCTCACCTTTCATAAACAGTAATAGATCCGGATATATACGGGCCATTACAGGACACGACTAGCACGTATGTTAAAAAATACAAAACAAGGCCAACTTTAACGGAATTTGTCAATGTTATCTTTTACATTTGCTTCGTGCTTGTTATCAGAGATTTTTTTATTCAAATCCTATCTAGAAATTTATCGTTTTGACTTGTAGCTGTGTGTATATACGTATTACAGAGGTGGTGCACATATGTAGAAAACTCGCCGGTCGTTCGGCAAAGTTCACAAGACAGTTTTGTAACCTCGTGAGTTTTGCTTTTTAGAGGAATCATTCAAGTCTAAAATTATCCTCAGACAGGAGACCATAAACACGACTTTAATTTGTTTTATAAGCTAAAAGTTTGAAGTGTTTGAGCCGCGAGTGGCCCAGATCCCTCTCGAGATAATACCAACTGTAGTCATACAAGGCCAGTATTGAACATACAATGTAGCTGGGTTAATGAAATTGATACCATTTCTTAAAAATACGTGTATACAAAGGGTTGTTCTCATTATTGACAATAGTTCATAGGCAGAACATGGTGTGAACGGTTTATAACAATCCCCTGATGCACTGTCGGTATGGGGACCTACTGTTATACGAAAGGTGCAAAGGGACCCGGACACATGGCCCCCAGCAGTGTGTGTGCAGCAGCTTCGGTGCGTGACGAACACATCTGCTGTTCGTGTCGCGTTAACCATGATTAGAGTGGCAAGGGTAATTAGGATATTTGCTATAAGTTGTACAGACAGACGTATAAGAGGGTTGATCTTTGATGAGTTTCAGTTTAGTTACCAATGATGACATTAATCACACACTAAATAGAAATTACGACACCACTAAGTCCTCTGATACTTGTAAACATCCGATATATTGGTAATGAAATGCTTCTCAACCGTGGATTTAACAGCTGTCATCAATCGAGATATATGTGACAATTCTCCAGCCAGGCAGTACCGTGGTCCTGCATTATTGACGAGGTGTGACCGAACTAGGTCCATCGACTGTACTTTAATCAGCGACGGAAAGTCGTCCATCGCTGGGTCCATCATTCAGTTTATAGTTAATATGTAATTACATAATTTGATAGCGCATAACAAAAACAATACTATACAAACAACTTTACATCTGTATCGGAGACATGACGATACGATCAGTTCCTGCTATGTGACACTGTGGCGGAGACTATCATCCGCCATGGACCGTAACGGTGTGTGTAATAATGATGACCTTGGTTAGTATACCCGTCACGTCCAATGGGACGTGGTTTCCTCCCCAGAATGGTAACTGATACACTCGACAGGTACAATTGTTGTGATCCAGGTAGATGAATATGACAGGTAAAGGGTCGTAAATTGTACTGACATATATCAAGATCCGGGAAATAACGAACGATGTCGATTAGTTACAACACGAAGTTGAACTGGTGATCTGTCATTTTTATAGCACTGGATCACATTCCATCAACCTACTGTGAACTTCAAAAAAATACTTCAGATATTTGTATTAAAATAGTGTTAATAAATATGTCGGTTAACATGTACAATGTAGCGTATCAAAGCGTTAAACGACTTCTATCGTAATCTCTGCCGTGGAGGCTTCCCTGTTACCCACCATGTGTCGATCAGTTCACTCCCAGAAGTCGACATTACTGGTGTGCCCTGTAAAACTAGTCCATCCTGGGAAATCAACAATACCCTCATTTTGTAAATCTACTTCCTCCCCAAGAGGTCAACCGCGGAAATCGCCTCCGTCTCCCGGGAGTCGCGTGACAATACTTTTCACTGGTGTGACAGCTCCCTCCCGAATCAGTCGACAGTATCCCACCCATTTAAAGCTAGACTTGTACGTCCTTCACCAGAAGTCTATAAACCTGACTACTATTTTATTTCATTTCGCACGCAACAGCATAATAAGGTAATAAGATACATATAAGGCAAGTTAATTTCAAAATCATACATATAGTACTTGTACATGTACAGTCAAGTAGTATTGGTGATGTGAGGACAATCGTCAACATTAAAATCACACAATAAGGATTATTGGTATAGGATGGTGTAAAACATGGCCAATAAATTCTCACTGCTCGATCGACAATATTCCATCGTCTGAACATACTCCCTCCTCGATGAATCGACAATATCCCACCGTCTGAACATACTCCCTCTACGATGAATCGACAATATTCCACCGTCTGAACATACTCCCTCTTCGATGAATCGACAATATTCCACCGTCTGAACATACTCCCTCCTCGATGACCAATGTACACCTTGATGAGTTGACATTATTCCACCAAGTAGACACATGTCCGCCTAGATGAGTCGTCATTATACCAGTAAGTAGACCTGCTCCTTCCTCCTACAAGAGTTGACGAAATCTATAAAGTTACAGATACTTTCTTCTTGAACAGTGGACAATATATATTTTGATAAAATTATAATTTGTCTTGAATTTGAAAATATCCGTTGTGAGTCTAAATACACAGAATCTGTATCATTGTCATTCTGAGCCAAGACCAGGACTTTATTCCGCGGTCTGATATGAAAAGATATGGAATTTTTTTTCCCGACCGAATCACATGTCTGACCAAGTTATATACTGTATAAATGTACCGATTTGTTTGTCTGTCCGGGTCGCCTTTCTAACCATCGTCTTACCAAGTTACATATCGCAACACACACACCTTTGTTTTGTTGCCTGTCTCTTAGTACACGTTTACAATATAGGTGATCTGGAAATTCTATATTTAACTACTACAAGTGTATGCAGTAATATATATATAACGGGTATCAAGATAAAAATAGACGAAATATATACAGAATAAAACATGTTAATGTTTCTGACTCCGTACAATGTGACATAGTTTCTTATACCCCTTATACAGCAGGGACTATCATTTGTCATCCGGAGCAGGCCCAAACGAGAATGAATGGACTGGGGTCAAAGTCATGTCACTGGTTACAGAGATATGAATTTGTTCTGTATACTTTCTGCGCCGTGAATTTAACCTTTTTCTTACATCATCTTAGAGAGACACGTATTGTCTTTCAACGGGTATTGGATCAGCGAAGTTGGCAAGGTATTTGTGCAAGTAATTTCACAAGGAATAAAGCAATCTGTATTGATTCTGCAAGGTAGACATTAAATGATCGCACATACTGACCGCAGGGTTGAGATGGTTTAGTCCGGTTACAGATGATGATGGTTATATTGATTGCCTTTGTCCGAGAGGTAAAAGTCAGCACGACATAGGACTGAACTTTATAGAGCACCATTTTGTCCAGCGTATCGCGCAGGTCTTAGTTATCACAGGTTATCACTCAGGACAATTAATGAAAATAAACGCTTACTCATGAATTGACAACGAGGCTACTGTAGATTTTGTCTGAGTTCGATCTGAAGCATCCACGGGTGAAGAGGATTCATTTTTGTATAAGCGGTGGGCCTCGGATCCCCGTGACAGGAGGTGCGGAGCCCACTGAACAGGGAAAATAGAACAAATTCTTTCAAATTCATTTTCTTCTTAAGGAATATCAGGATTTTGTCCTAATTTGGTCTGAAACAACCTTGGGGCAATAGGGCTCAATTTTCTATAAACGATTGGTCTGACCCCTTCTCTTTTAACCCAGAGTAATAAAACAAACCCTTGAAAATTCTACCCCTTCTGTTGTAGGAATGCATGGACCGTGTCCCAGTTTGGTCTGGAGGGTCCTTTGGTAGTTGAGAATCCTTCTCGTATAGACGTATATTTTGGCCCACTAGAACAGAAGGGTCATGACCCATAGGGGAAGTAGAGCAAATTCATTTAAATCCTTCTACTGGAGGATGGCTTTTTGCTGAGGAGAATTTCGTATAAATGGTTTGCCTGACCCCCTAGGGTTAGAGAGTTGTGGCAACTTGGGAAAATAGATATAAATATTTGGATTTCGCTCTCCTTTAGTTTAGACGAAGGTCATAATGATCCATCCAGGTCATAAAGGTCTCATGTTACTAGTGTACGTCAGGGGCCTCTGCCAGTGTCACGTTTATTGTTTGAACTTTTTACAATTGAACAAAAGCATATATTCAAAGACCTTCCATCCCTATGTTGAAATACTTTATTAAGCATCATTTACGACTAAAAGACCAGTTTGAGAGACTCGTATAACGGGTCGCCCTTTTTATTAACCACTGTGTTTTTGGGGGAAAAGTGTTTTAAATGTATCTGTCAGCTGTCGATGTATTGCAAAATCATGACTGGTATTGGGAACAGGACGTAGAATTAAGACGACACGGATTGATATTAGGAACAAGACGTAGAATGAGGTCACAGGGTTGATATTGGGAACAAGACATAAGAATGAAGACACAGGGTTGATATTCAGAACAAGACATAAGAATGAAGACACAGGATTGATATTTGGAACAAGACGTAGAATGAAGTCGATACAGGGTTATTCTATACCGTTTGACCCGTGAACCGACAATGAATATCAAGACTACCGTGAAACATCACGACAATGGAAAGTAAATAGAAATACTATTAGGAAACACAAATTGAACTAAATGCTTAACACAATTTATATTGCATTCAGAAAAAAAGTACTCTCGGAAACGGAGGATCTAAGTAGAAAGAAAACAATTACTTTTCCTAGAATCTGGAAGTTGAAATCAAACGAAAGTGAACACTGTATCGGAAGGTAATAGCAAAAACAATAATGATTTTCAAAATGAACAGTTCCTATTGAAAGATAGATAGATGTTTCACTGATAGTAAGCGACAACCGAAATCAAACGTACACAAAATATGTACCCTTGGAAACCGGTAATTGAAATTGGACACAATCAAACGTGCTGTTTGAACCCGCTGATGATTAAAACCGAACGGGAAAAACAAATGCATTTTTACGAAGCGACAATCAAACTGAACGCAGGCGACAAACGCCGTACATATACTTACTATTGAATACAAACGATAGTACG